CACAGTGGAACGTTACCGCAGCTCTCCGGGCCTGTTGATGAGGCGTCGTCGCCCCCTCTGCTCTCTGTGCACCTAATTCAGAGAGCAAACACTGCTGCAAGTTCTGATCAGAAAAAAACACTAATTCATAATCACGCTGTCAGCCTTCAGTTGACTATTATACTTTTAAACACACTATCATTTGTTTTAATTGCCCGCCGTAAATCAGTTTGTGTTTGTGTCTCCATTGAGAGCAACAGTTGCTCGGCTCCATTAGCGCCTGCAGATCACAAAGCCATTAATTCAGGCTGCGCAGGCACAAATCAACCTGTCATCCTCCGCGCAATCACTCGACTCAGAGAAGCCAGAGCTGCAGACTGACAGAAAAAAAAGCCGCTGTTGCTCTTTAAAAAAGTCTTGTAAAGAAAAGTGCGAGCGCTGCTGCCAGGCGCTGCCGGCCCGAGCCAAGCTGTATTAAAACAGGGTGTATTTTAAACAAAGGTTGCTTTTTAATAAGGCCAGAGGGTGGCATATCGCAGATAGCTGTTGACTGGTAACTGCCGTGTTTAGCGTTAAACACAACGTGTCTGCCATGGCAACACGCAGGCCAAGAGTTCCCCGTCGGTGCTGCCAGCCAAGCTGGAACTGTTTTACATGCAGAGCAATCACAAATGAGAAGTGCAGTTTAATTACGGGGGAAGAAAGAAAGAATAAAGAGGCTTTATGTGAGATAGTTTATACACGTGCATCAGATCAGGGTGCCAGGTAGCACCAGCCATCTCAGAGCTGTAGATGCATCTCGTGTTTCCCTCAGCTGACAGTGGTTGTTCCTGCCACGTTAGTGCCACGAAAAGTGTTTGTTTTTTACCAAGACGTTGTTGCGTTTCCTGTTGGGATAGTGCCATTAAGGTGGTTGTTTTTCATGGGGATATCGCTGCATTTCCTGCCAGCATAGTTCCACAAAAAGTGGTTGATTTTTACAAAGACATCGCTGCTTTTTCTGCCAGAGTAGCAACAAGATAAGTGTTGCTTTCCACCCAAGCATAGCTGCATTTGATGACGAGGAAGTGCCATGAAAAGTAATTATTTTTGGCAAGACATGGCTGCTTTTCCTGCCAGGAATGGCAACATGAAAAGTGTTGCTTTCCACTGAGACATGGCTGCATGTCCTGTCGACATAATACCACGAAAGGAAATTGTTTTTTACTGAGACATTACTGCATTTCATGCCAGGATAGTGCCACAAAAAACTGTTGTGTTCTATCAAGATGTCACTGCTTTTTCTGCTGGGATGGCGACACAAAAAGTGTTGCTTTCCACCGAGACATGGCTGCGTTTCATGCCGAGAAAGTTCATCACAAAGCGGATGGTTTTTGTTGAGACATCGCTACGTTTCCTGCCATGATAGTGCCACAAAATGGGGTTGTTTTTCCCAAGATGTCACTGCTCTTTCTGCCAGGATAGTGACACAAAAAGCACTGCTTTCCACTGACACATGGCTGCGTTTCATGCTGAGAAAGGGCCACAAAAAGCAAATGTTTTTTGCCAAGACATTGCTGCATTACATGCTGAGAAAGTGCCTCAAGAAACAGATGGTTTTTGTTGAAACATCGCTGAGTTTCCTGCCCGAACAGTGACATGGAAAGCATTGCTTACGTGGCTGCAGATTATGACGAGAAAGTGCCACAAACAGGTTGTTGTGACGAAGACATTGCTGCGTTTCCTGCCAGGATAGTGCCAGATATCGCTGCGTTTCCTGCTGAGAAAGTGCCACGAATTTCTACCAAGACGTCACGGGGATAGCACCACAGAAAGTGTCACTTTCCACTGAGACACGGCTGCGTTTCTTGCGGCGTAAGAAAAGATGATGGTTTTTGACTGAGATGTTGCTGCATTCCCTGCCCAGGATATATGACTGTTCATAGATGAAGTGCACACAGACAGTGTGTAGGAACAGCTGTTTGTCCTCCATGAAGCTGGAGGAGGTCAAATCAGGATGCGTCCAACTGTCTGTCATGCACGTTATCTCTGACTAATGTGATTTTGATGAAACTTTGGGGACGTCTTTATGCTGCTCTTGCTTTGTTACATAACACAACAATGTTTGCAGGACACAATCTCAGTCCACTCACTTTCACAGCTTTATCAGACTGCAGCAGTCGACCTGCAGCTTGTGTTTACACTTGATTTACACGTGTTTGTTTATTCGTCATCGTTATACCTGCAAACTTCTGCTTTTCTTTTTGCGTTAAATAATGCAAGTGAAGTGGAGCTCCTCTCCACGCTGCCACTGCAGCTCAAAGCAGCTCTCAGCATCTTGGTCTGAACTTCAAACACCAAATAAAAACCCAGCTTCTTGTCATTATTTCCATCCAGAAGAATCCTGATGCGTGACAGTTGATATTTACAGCTCTGATTCTGGAAGTAAGCAGCGTATTACACAACCTAAGCCGTCAATACCAGAAATCACAAATGAGTAAAAGAATCCAGTTTACTTTATAACCGACAGATGTTGGATGACAAATATTACGAAGCAGCCGCCGACTTCTGAGCCTTTTTATTTTCACCCTGAACTTGGATTTGTGTGCTTTTCAGTTTTGTAAATTTGGTTCCTGGCGTGCTGCAGCAGGTCCTGCACCAAGAGCACAAACACCATGATATATCATGCCAGAACACAATGAACAACACAGAAATCCTGCAGATTCATGACCCTGTAATAGCCAGTTCACCTTGCTCCGACAGAGCGTAGGAGGACACGGGGCCTGGCTGCCAAATGACCGAAACATTGGATGAACATGTACATGTGCCTTGGCAGCTTCGCGGCCCGTCACCGTGCAGGCAGAGTGAAGCAACATGGGGAGAGAAACTGAACCTTCACCTGGAGATAAGAACCCAGCTACAGTGACACACTTTGTTCAGCTGAGTCATGTGTTGCTGTCATGGGAAGAGCTCCCAAATGTCAGATTTTCAGTGACAGCTTTTGTTTCCAGCACCAGTTATATAAACATGACCGTGAGCTTCAGAGGATGGGTATGAACCTGCAGCACTTCCTGTGTCCTCCAAAATAATTTAAGTGCTGTACTTGAACTTTATTTGACGACAGTTTGGAGCTAGATGTTCTCTATAGGGCAACACAGATTTATTAAAACTAAATTAAATATATTCTGCTTCTTCCTCTTCTTCTTTTCAATAACTGTATTCGTGCATCAATAAAAAAATGATAAATATAATTATTTTAATACTGTAAAATGACAAGTTGACAAAAAATAAAAAATAAAAGGACAAAGCATTCTCAAGCAACATTATTCATTTTGGTGGATTTATTGTAATATTTGTAGATGTAAATAGACATATTTATACTATAATAAATTTATTATTTATATTATTACGATTTTTTATTTTTAATTTTTTAATTTTTCTTATTGTTACATTATTTTTTTTGTATGCCAATAAAAATAAATACATATTTTTTATTCAGATGTGTATTTATTATTTTAATACTGTGATATGACAGTGTGACAAAAAAGAAGACAGGTTTGCTTGTTTTTTATTATTATTATTTTGTTTTATTTTTTAGCAGTAGTAGTGGGACACTAGTAAAATCAATAAATAATTAAATAAATAAAGCACTCTAATAGGGTTATTTTTATTACTATTATTATTATATTTATTTCTTTTTATTTTTATTTTTTTCTTCTTATTATATTGATAACTTTTTTGTTAACTTTTTTGTTTTGTTAAAATAACGAAAAAACATGCCGAAATTATTAATTGTTATTATTATTATTATTATTATCATCAAAAGTAATATGATTTTTTAAATTTCTATTTTTCTTATTATCAAATTAATCACTTTTTGTATGCCAATAAAAAAGATTTGTATTTATTATTTTAATACTGTGATCTGACAGTGTGACAAAAAAAGAAGACAGGTTTGCTAAAATTAGTTGGATTTATTGTAATATTTGTAAATGTAAAGAGATTTATTAATACCACAGCAAACATTATTATTATTATTGTTTTTTATTATTGTTATTTTGTTTTACTTTTTAGTATTAGTAGTAGAAGTGGTATGATAGTAAAACAAATAAATAATAAAATAAATAATTCATATAAACAGGATTTTTAATATTTTTTTATTATTATTTCATTTATTTCTTTTTGTTTTTATTTTTATTTTTCTTCTTGTTTGATAACTTTTTTGTACAGCAATTAAACAACGAAGAAACATGCTAAAATGATTTAATCATAGACCATTCATTGTGCTTTAAATTTATTTAATTACTGTAGTTGAATTCATTATTATTATTATTATCATCATCATCAAAAGTAACAGGATTTTATTTTTAATTTTTCTTATTTTCATATTAATATTTTTTTGTATACCAATAAAAAAATAAATACATATTTTTTTATTCAGATTTGTATTTATTATTTTAATACTGTGATCTGACAGTGTGACATAAAAAACACGTGTGCTAAAATTAGTTGGATTTATTATTGTTATTTTGTTTTATTTTTTAGGAGTAGTAGAAGTAGTGGAACGCTGGTAAAATAAATAAATAATAAAATAAATAAAGCAAATAGGGTTATTTTTATTACTATTATTATTATTATCAGTATTATTAGTAGTAGTATAATTGTTATCATAATTATTATTATATTATTATTTATTTATTTTTGTTTTAATTTTTTAAATTACTTTAATTATGTTTTTCTGTAAAAAAAACATGCTAAAATTATTTAATTATAGACCATTCATTGTTCTTTAAATCTATTTAATTACAGTATTATTTTTTATTATTATTATCATTATTTTTAGTATAATTGTTATCATAATTATTATTATTTCATTTATTTCTTTTTGTTTTTATTTTTTAATTACTTAAATTCTGTAAAAAAAACATGCTAAATTTATTATTTTTAATATTATTATTAATAAATTATTTTGTTTTTATTTTTCTTGTTATGTCGATACATTATTTTGTACAACAATAAAAATAAATAAATACTATTACTTATTTTTATTTTTGTTTGTGTTGTTTGTCGTTATAATGTGTACAGCAGTAAAAATAATTAAAACACTGTAATATGATAGGATAGCAATCACAGAATCCCTCTTAAGGTCGGTCGGGTTGGAATGCAGCCTCCCAGTCATTCCTGCTCCGCGGTGTCAGCCTCACTCGATCCACATCCGGTCCACCTTAAATATTTCTGCTCTCAGAGCGCACCGCGACGGGAGCGCGCGGCAGCGGCGGCAGCAGCGGCTCTGTCAAATCACAACGGGAGTGACGCGCAGGCGGAGCACTTACATCAAAACCCTCCGAGGACTTTTTTTTTAACGCGTAAAAGTCACGGTGTTTTCGGTAAATCGGTGTGGAAGTACGCAGACGTCAGGATTATGAAAAGCTGCGATAGTTAGCCAGCGTCTCGCGGGCGTTTGGAGCACGTTACGTACACAAAGTAAGTTTTTCTCCCAGCTGAGAGGCGCACGAGACGCGACCGAGGACTAACGTTAAAGGGGATTTTACCGTCTCGGCTTTCTGTCGTTGTTTTTATTGTTTGTTTGTTTACACCGAGGGATGTGAGTCTGCCTGTTTGGAGCTGTTTTTATTGACACAAACAACAAGGATAACGCCACTTGTGTTTGAACCCCGCTCTGTTTGAAGTCACCATGCTGACGAACACGGCGCTTTACGCGGTGAAGAAACGGAAGAAGCCGGTTCAGAAAATGTGAGTAAACAAGCGTAAACACACACAAACATCACGGGAATGTTCCGGAAGTGTTCCTGGAATATCTCATACTGCGTGTGGCTGCATAAGAAGCGTGTATACAATAGTTCAATGTGCTTTTATAGCGGCTACAGCGCTGCTACGGTGTCCCTGAAGGCACCATCTGTACTTAAACTGTAATACTTTAATAATGCTGCATCATAAAGTGCCCTTAATCATTATTTACTTGTGTTATTTACATACAAATAACATGCATTATTACAGGAACATGTGTTTCATGCTGTATTTCACTCCCTAAATCATTCATACATGTACACACGCTGCTCTCTAGGTGCAGCGCACACACCTCCAGACTGCATCACAGCCTCTGCATCCACACAGGCCATAAAGTCTATTTTCCCTGCTGTGGTTATGCAATGCTGGCCAGTGCTGAAGTCCAGCAGCACTTCAGGCACATGCAGCATGGAAAATAAAGAAAACCTTTGCTCCAGTGTTATTTTGAATCCAGTTATATCATGTGAGACAGCTGGGCGTCCCACAGGAGCTCCTTTTGACTTCTTTATTTCCCCTCTCTTTCTGAGGGTGGAATTTGGAGTTTGGTTATTAGTGCTGGATTGTTTGAGTGTGCCAGTGAGAGCCAGAAGACCATGCGTCAGGGTCGTATGTACAGGACGGAGATGCTCCAGTGGTTCAGTGTGGCACCCTTTGTTAGCACTGATTGATTTTGATGATTTTTTGGGAGCTTCTCGTACTTGTCCAAGGCTCTCTGGTGGTCTCTGGACCACAGTTCGGCTGCCAGTGCTCTTTCTGGCCTGCTCACAAGTGTCTATATATTTATGCATTTAAGGAACTATAAGGAAGATAATAAATCACAGACTCTATTGATGACTCGTGCTTTAAAGAACCTTCTGAAATGTCTCTAACATGGGTCCTTGCATAGACCTTTCTGCGCAAGAACCCTCAATAAACGTCATGTAGTTCTTCGTCGACTCAATCGTGCCGTAAAGAGACCTTTACGAAGGTTTTCTTAGAGCGATTCTGTTCTGAATAAAGTCGAAATAGTTCTCCAGAGAACATTAATGTCAGAAGACCTGTTGAGAACTGAACTGCACAGTCTGAATCTGCAGTGGGAGGCAGTCTGAACACTGTGGCTAGAACGACACACCCTCCAGTCTGTTATTGTCTCATTCTGCTAATCGACACATGCGGGAGATGCCGCAGTAAATTAAATGTTAGCAGCCGTCCCGAGAGCGCTGCCTCGTAATGTAATGACAGCTAAATAGAGGGTCGTGAATGAGTTTACACCCTCGGTTCCCTTGTCTTGTAGTCAGACATCTGAAATAAGGTCTGTGGTCAACACAAGCTGAAGAGACTTTCACGGTTTGTTCGTAAAATGTCACTAAATATCCCACTTTGAATTTCTAAGCTGTAATGTGTCTTAAAAAAGACGTTTGCTAGCAAGTGGCTAAATGAGACTACACAACGTCATCATGCCGAACACAGCTTAACAGCCTCGATGCGTCAACGTTAGCTTTTTACTTCTGGCGTTTGCGCTGAGGCTTCAGCAGTCATTGAAGTGGAGTTCATTTGCTAAGATTATCTTGCTGAATCCAAAATCCAGTGGAAAAATCCCATTGGCTTTTTGGCGACGCTAACGTCTGCATCGGCCTAACAAAAACGTCATCCCTTCAGCACTCTATAGGCTGTGACTGCAGCAGTTGCGGAGGCAGCAGGTTGTTTTTGAAATTAAGTCACTAGAACATCTGAAAAGGCACCAAATCTAACGAAAAAGTCGCCAAATTGATGACAGTGATTGGCGCTGTAAAAGACAGGGGTGCGCCGGATCTAGGCTAGAACACAAGACAACGTAAGACCTTCATTGGAAAACAGACTGCGGAACAATAATCTTTTTATCTCGGTCATCTTGAAATGCTCGAATGATACTTCCTAGTCCTTGAAGAGTGGTGTAAAAACTTTTAGGAACGTTCTTTAATGGACCATGCACACGTTCTGATGACCTCGATAGTGCTTTAAAGAACTACTTACAAAGGTTCTGCAATTTAGCTCACCGTTGCGTTTATTTTTGTTATTTTAACTGCAAGTAAAGAAGTCAAGCACCATGGTAAAATGGCTCTTCTTTGACTTCTCATTACTATTAGAAGAATAGACCCTTAATGGTGCTGCAGAGAACCTTTAGAGACCCTGCATGTGGTGTCAAATAATGCCTTTCACCATGCTAGTTTACGATAAATCCCTTTTAGTACTGTACAGAACTTTTTTGGAGATGTTCTCTTGATGAACATGCTTCAGTCGTCGCTCAAAGACTCATTATAGTGCTGCAGAGAACTGTTTTGAGGTGTTCTCCAAAGCACCATGCTGGAGTCGGTGTTCTTCAACCCTTCATGGTGCATTAAAGAACCTTTCAGAGAGGTTTCGTCAAGCACCATGCTCAAACCGTACCTCGTAGTCCCTTGACGGTGCTGTATAAACTTATTAGTGAGGTTCTTTAATGCACCATGCACAGATGTTCTTCCAGTGACCTTTGACATCGCTTTGAAGAACTACCTACAAAACCTCTGTATTTGAGTTCGTCCATAGTATTTTTGTGGGTTCAAATCCGAAGTAGAGCTTCAAAGAACATTTAGGGGAAGTTTCCAAAAGCACCACACACAAAGCGTTCGTCGTAGAACCCTTTACAGTGGGACAGCACCATGGTAACATGGCTCGTCTTTGACTTCTGATAACTATTAGAGAAATCGACCCTTAATGGTGCTGCAGAGAACCTTTAGATGGACCCTAGAGGAAGTCTTTCACAGTGCTAGAGAGAATTTTTTGAAGCATCATGCTTAAGTCCTGTCCAGAACCACGCCAGTTTACTCTGGATCCTTCAAAGTGCTGTAAATAACATGTTTGGAGATGTTCTCTTGATAAGCATTCTTGACTACTTCCTTAAAGACCCAGAGAACTGTTTAAGGTGCTGAAATGGGTGGTTGTAGACCCTTCATGGTGCTGTAAAGAACCTTGTAGAGATGCTCTGTTAAGTACTATGCTGAAATGGTACCTCAAAGTCCCTGTCAGTGCTGTAGAAACGCTTTAGGGAGGTTCTTAAATGCACCATGCATAAATGTTCTTCCACCAACCTTTGTTTTAAGACCTATTCACAAAAGTTCTCCTTAGCGTTGTATTTTTGTGGTTTCACCTGCAAGTAGAACTGCAAAAGTACCTTAAGGGGAAGTACCTGAAGGCACCACACAAGTGTTCTTCCTAGGAACCTTTACAGTGGTATAGCACTTCATACACCTCTCATAACTGTAGAAATAGTTAATGGTGCTTTAGAGAACGAAGGAACCCTCTGAGGAAATCCGAAGCACACTGTTAAAGGGTTCTTCTAGATCCTCCATGGAACTGTTAATAAGTGTAGTAACATGCTTGGATAGTTCCTCAAGGACTCAAAGAGAACTGTTTGGTTCTCTAAAGCACCATGCACACATAGGTGTTCCCAGACACTTGGTGGTGCTACAGAGAACCCTTCCAGAACATAAGAGCAGCTCTGAGCCACGCTGTCTTCCTCACTGGGATTTTACCAGTTTGTGATTTCTAACTTTAACAAGCCAGACGGGAGTGTTAACTGCTGCATACAGAACCACAGGCTCGAGCAGAGAACCACGGCCAGAACCCTGCCAGAACCGCGGTTTCAGTGTGTGTGTGGTACTACCTGCATTAATCATAATCAGGACGTGGAGCGAGAGCACTCTCACGCAATGTTTCCACGAGGGAGGAGGGAGGGAGGGAGGATGGCGTAATCTGAGACTCGCTGTGTGTTTTTTTTTTTCTCCTCCTTCTCCTCGACTGCCACAACATACTTTTTTCCTGTCTTTCCTTCTGTCTCTCTGGGTGTTTTTTCGGGGGGTTGTTTCTTTCCTCCCTCCCTCAACACAAATTAACATAGTTCAGTGTCACGCAAACGCTTACATAACTGTGCCATGTTCGCTCGCCTTTGGTTTTTCAGGAAAAGTTGCTCTCAGGGAGTTTATCTTTATGTTTTTTTTGTTTGGGAAAGAGTGAGTGAGTTATGAGTGTGTGTGTTAGAGACAGAGACAGTTTAACCCACACACAGGTCTCGAGGCGACGTTACGGCAGTCTGCCCTCAGGCAGTGTGCCTTTATATTTACACTGCGTTGTCAAGGGAGAACATTTGAATGTATGGTGATTTCTCTGCGTCCGTTAGAGAGAAACAAACACACAAAGGTTGATATAGGTTAAAAGACCCATATATGATGCTAGAACACATTTCTGGACATCAACGTGCAGCTCTTACAGCCCTCATGCTTCTGGTTTCAGTCTCTCCACTAGTTTCTGGAGTCTGGCTGCAGGGATTTGTTCCCATTGAATTCCCACAAGAGCTTCAGTGAAGTCCAGCACTGATGCTGCGCGATAAGGCCTGGCTGCAGTTCATCTCAGAGGACGGGGCTGAGGTTGGGGATGGATCTGGTTCCAGAGGAGTGAAAAACCAAGATTACTTGTGTCGGATTTAGTGGCATCTAGTGGTGAGGATTGCAGATTGCAGCCAAATGAAACCTCGCCATGTGCTCAGCATGAACCCGCAGTTAGTTTTTACCATGAGCCGAATTATTCGTAGAGGTCTCTTCCTCTCCAGAACAATCGGACCTGGTGATTTAAACCGCTAAAAACACTGAATAAAGCAGTTTCATGTTAAAAATCAGTGTTTTTACAATGCAATTTTGGCTCGTCATGGAGGGGCTGACGCTCCAATGGGAGTCTCCCCCTGTGGAGCCAGTGTTTCGTTTGTCCGTTCTGGGCTTCGGCAGAATCATTCCAGACTTCTTGGACCAGACCTGCTTCTTACGTGGGTAACTTATGTGTCAACTTACAAATGAACTTCATCCCTCAAGCGCACAATTCCCCTCTCATTCATTTCCATTCAATGCAAGGAGAGGGACAAATGAAACATATGCTACCGATGGCAAAGCAAATTTGCG